ATTTCTTTTGCTGCTGAAAAATTGGTTTTTTCCCTTTTTTGATCTCTTTCATTTTTTTGTCGCACCGGAAACATCGAAACAATTCTTTGAATCTATCTCGCTTCATGCCTATTCTTAAAAATATAATCCCGAATTTGTGGCTCCAAAGGCGATCAACGTTTCCCCTTCTTTGGTTTGCCCCAATATAAATCAAAATGCCAAGAAAACATTCAATTTCTTCGAAATCAGTTGGGATCCATTTCCCGTTAATTAGTTCTTCTGCCTTTTCATTTGTACCTTCAACAATTAATTCAATCATTTCATTTGAAAACATTTTTCTAAAACATTCCAAAGGAGATTTGAAATCTTCAGAAAAAACGGTTTTCGAAAAATTTTCTTTTTCACAAAACTTTTGAAAATCAAAAATCCCAAGTTTTGGTTCGATTTTTGACCATCCATCCAAATAATCATCTTTTTCTTCAAAAAAACATTCTTCTTCTTCATTTTCTATTTTTTGATCATATTCTTCAACATTATTTTCACAAAAAAATGGATCATTACTTTCGTCATCACTTGATATTAAACAATCATCTTGTTGGTATTCACACTCCATGAATTGAAAAAAAAAGAACAAAAAGGCAAAAAAATAATAATGGTAAAATTTTGTTTATGTATGTCCATTAAGGAAAGGTTCAGCCAATTAAGTGTTAATAATCGGTGGGTCTTTATTGTTTAAGTCTAGATCATAAAGATTAAAATTTTTGCCAAATTCGTGAAGAAAAACCAGCTCTTCCAAGTGTATCGGGGTTAATGAACATCTTCGTTTTGTTTTGATCAGAGAGCACTGAGAAAACAATCGCTCAGATGATGATGATGAAGCGAGAAGACAAAGATATTTATTAACAAGTCTGGTTAAAAGTGGAAACGATTTTGTGTTGTTTCTCCACCACACAAGAGGATTTTTTGCGTTCGGATCAAGACTGTTTTTGTGGAGTATTGGTATTTGCAAGTATGTATTTATCTCTTTTTTGGCTTCAAGGCACAAATCTTTTTCATTGTAATACACCATTTCATCATCATTTTCACTACTAAACTGAAAAATGTTTTCAAGAGAGTGTGTTGTTTGAGAAGCACGTTCCTTGGTAATAAGTCTGTCTTTATTCAATTTCACCACCTCGTTTAATAAAAGTGTTTCATATTGAACTTCTCCAAAAGAGACTCTTAATCCTGACATATTCACATCAAATGATTGAAACCCACGAATTTTATAACATGGGTTTAATAGCGCAGATAAAATGTAAACGGGGTCTTTCATTATATTTCTTTTGGTTCCAAGAAAACGCTCGATGATTTGGTCAACAATGTTAATTATGTACAATTTAAGTGCATGGTTAGGAGTTTCCATCTGAAAATCACAAAACCCATAATTGGATTTTGGCAAACTACTTTGTTGTAAGTGTTGTTCAGATACAAATCCATTGGTCGTTGATCCAACAATTGGAAATGTTTCCACTTCATCGTAAAAATAATGCCGTTCATTTGATTGGGTTTTTACATAGGCGAAGTTAATATGATCATTCAAATTACAACTATCTCGTGTTTGTCTTAAAATACGAGCTGGATAATCTAGATCGGTTGCTTTAGTGTCATCATCTTCAATTATATTATATCGATTCTTTAATAAAGTGATTAAATGGACAACTGTATAAATAACCTGAGAAAGTGTTGGATAAGAATCAGAGCTAAATCTATTTATTATGAAATTGATGTATTTCGAAATATCGATATAATTTCTCATATCAACAATATCATTTAAGGAAAGTTCATATGTTTGTAAAAAAATAGTTTTTTAAACTAAATTTGAAATTTCATTGGCTTTTTTTTCAATTGCGGTGTTTATATATTTTGCAAGAAGACACACTCTATTAATCATTAAATACTCTCCAAACCAACGAGTATCACCCGGTTTCACAAGTTCTAACGGCCTTGTAATGTGATCTTTTAGCTGAGCATCTTCCATTTCTTTGGATAACAACACACTTTGACTGAATAAAGTTACCAATTTTTTGACTCGACTTATAAGAATTTTATATCTTACGACATCTTCTGTTGCTTGATTAGCTATCAAATTGAAGGTGTGACAACAACACCCAATAGATTGTTTTCCACTGTTTTTTACCGCGTTTAATTCGCTTGCAGCGTTGTCTGTAATTACATAAAAATTACCTTTAAGTCCCCAACAATCAAACATTGAAGTTAAATTATCACCAAGAAAAGCTCCTGTTTTTGTCTTTTCATCAAGTTGTTTTAATTCTAATATAAGAGACTTCAAATTGTATCTTTCGTCTAAATAATGAATTGTCAAAGAGACAAATTCTTGTTTGCACATAAAAGTGCACCAACCATCAGTTGTACAACAAAAATACACCAAAGGTAATACAAGTTGGTGTAATTTTGTTTTTGCCGCTCTAAACATTTTTGGTACAATAGTCCTTGAAATAACATCCGAAGAAGGGATGCTCAAATCAGGACGTATACTATGAACGAAGTCGACAAAGGCCCGACTTTCAACATGTTCAAAACTAAGTTCAGATGACACTATATAACATCCGATTTTTAAATTAAGATCACTTACTTTTTTGGTCGATTCAATTGTTGGATTTTTCATTTTTAATTGATCATCGTGTATAGTTATATGTTTCTTCATATCTGTGACACTTTCACTTGTCGTATCAAATGAATAATATTGACCACAATAATCACACACCAAAAGATAATATTTGTCAGATAACACAACGAACTTGGGTTTTTTCCCGTCCTTTCCTTTTGGTAAAACACCACAAAGAGAGTTTGTGTTTTTGTCAACCACCCAGATCGAACATCTTTTCCAGACATCTTCAGCAATAACAAAATGTTCTCTTGTTGGTGGAAGTTTCAGTTTCATTGAGTCATCAACACTTGTATAAGGATTTTTACGTTTTGGTGGTTTTACTATTATAAGTTCTTTTTATCATCAACATCCAAATGATCTTCAACCTTTTTTGGAGATTTTTTTGTTAATTTCTTTGTAGGTTCTGGACTCGTTGGCCATAACACATCTTTTTGTATTGGATTTTCATGAGTTATTAACGATGTGATTGTTTGTTTTTTATGTGAATTTTTTGTTTCTATTGTATTTGGTTGTTTTTGTGTAACAAAATGTATCGGAAAAGTGTTTATAGTATTTTTTGGTGAATGATTGACAAATGAATTACTAGTTGTTTTTATTTCTGTCTCGTCATTGTAAACAACTGTATTATTATCAGGAGGCTTTCCTTTGTTTGAACAAAGTTTAGGAATTGTTGTAAAACTCCGAGGTAAAGATAATTGTAAGTGTTTAGACATTGTGTTTATATTTTGTTATTTTTTGTTTTTGTATGTGTTACAAGTTACACTAACTCATATACAACTCAACACCACGATGCAACTTTTTAAATGATTAAATATTAATTATTAAATATTATAATGTTAAAATTATTTTTAATTATGTGTCAACACATTAAAAAGTTAAGTTGCTCAAAAAATCATTCGTATTCGATTATTTGTTTTTTATCATGTTATGTTTAACTCTTATTTTATAATTATTAATGTAATGTATTAGAACTTGTAAAGATGCTAATGAGATGTCGCAGTATCATGTTTTAAATTGTTGAACTGAACAATTTAAAGATGTGTTTTATTCAAAAAATAAAGTCCATTTTTTAATTAATACATTTTTGTTTTTTAATTTAATATTTTTTGTTAAACTACTTTTTGGTTCAAAATTTTTAGTTCTTTCAATTTTTATATTGTTGTATACACGTTTTCAGTTAATCATATTATAGACAATGTTGATGTAATTGGTTTCAAAAGTGCGATTTCGGTAAATCTATCTTATACGGCTCCCATTTATTTTTTCCTAATTGTTGTCTTATATAAAAAGAAAAAAAAGCAATTTGATAAAACCCTTTTCACATTATTTTAAACAATGATTAAGTCTTTTTTCAGGAAAAAAAATCAGTTAAAATTCAGTTAAATAACTGCGAAGCACTAAATGATATCTTTCTAATAATAAGTTGTTATCTTATGAATTATTATATTAATAATTTGTAGTTAAATTGATTTAATCAAAATATACTAACACAAACAATTGTTTTTAAATATTATGTATTAACTCTCAGACATACCGATGGCTGGACAAACCAATAGTGCATAAAAATGCACTATTGAAAATTTTTTTTGTTAAATATGTACTATAATTTTATAATAAATTAAAAATGGAATAACAAGATCAAAGGGTGATCTAAAAAACAAAAACTTTGAGAAAAAAATAAGGTTTTTATTTTTTTCAAAAACAAAAACCATAAAATCTGGCAAAAAGCGAGTATTGGTAAATAGTAAAAACATTTTGTTTAAAAAAATGTTTTTAAAACCTCAAAAAATAATAATATTATTTGATAATTAACACACAAATTACACCATTAAATGTATATATAAATATTAATTCTTCGATACAATATAATTCATATAATTATAACATATTCATTTGCTAAATTTTGTCTGGTCTGTAGCGTTGTCTGCTGATTTTTAGGCCATTATAAACGAAAAATTCTGGGATTTTTTTTAAATTTAAAAATCGTTGTTTCAATATTTTTCCAGTTTTTTTTCATTTTTACCTAATTCCCGTTTTTTTAAAAAACAAAAATCATTTTTTGTAAAAAAGACAACGAATGGGGAACAGACAACATTTATCGACTGACTCTAGTCGTTTTTTATTAATTAAAATCAAGTTGCAAATTAATTTTAATAATTTTGTATTTCATTTATTTTTTTTGATCGATTTACATGACTTCCATTGTTTGACGGCTCTTGTTTGTTTGTAATTCTTTAATATACGATGAAGTTTTTGATTTTATTGTATAATTTTTGTATAAAATACAAAGCTTCTGTTTGTATTTTTTTTGCTTTAAATACATTATTATTAATATCAAATGTTCTGTCAACATCAAAAATTAAACATTTTATTATATTTCATGTACGCGTTTTATTTAAATCAAATAAATTTATTGATAATTCTGGAAATGTTGATGACAGTAATAACTTATTCTTGTTGCTTCATGTTGTGAGTTGTTAAAATAAAATGGAAATGTGACAATATTGTAAACAATTACACCAACAAACGTATATGATTTTTTTATATTAGTAAGCATTATTGAAATCATGTTTTGTAACAAATAATATATAACCTCTGTCTAGTATACAACCCAAATTAATTATTGTCTCGGCCATTATTGATAATAATAAACAGTCGATTCTTTATATTCTTTTCAATTTGTTGAATCATTGAACTGATAAACTATTTATTTGTATACATCAAAAACGATGTTCTTTACAATTAACTTTTTCTATTTTTATATTTTTTATTATTTATAAAAAAATTATAACTATGTTATGTTGGTTTGATCGTTTATAACGATTAAGATAATTTTGTGTCGCATAAAAAAGAATGTACAACAACAATATGTCATTACTTATTGTCGTTCATTGATTTGCATTAATTCAATGAACAAATAAGTTTAACTTTTTTTTAATCACCATGTTTTTGTTATTTGTCAAACGAACATGTAAATTTTGTTCTGCTTATGAACAATTTTAGTATTTATTACTGTTTTTGTTTTATTGTTGTCTTTGATACTTTTTCTGTTGTATTTTTTGTTCTGTTTTGCTTTTTTGTTTTTTTTTCAAAAAATAATTTACAAAATGTGTATTTGGTAAAAGATATAATTAATAAATTATTGATATTTTATTAATAAATTTTATTGGTATTTTCGGGATATATACCTAATGATTATCCTAAAATATTTAAATAAATTTTGGGACAAAATATCAAAAAAATGTGAAAAAAAGCACTATTGGTACGTTCGAGAGTTAATTAAAAAAACATTTAATTATAATTAAATTATATCTTGATATAATAATTGAAACACAAGTGTAAGAAATTGTGTAAATTAACAATTTTCTACTTGTTCAATATTCTGAGAACTCTGATATTTGCAATGGTTTTTGCATTTTTTCCATTTTTTGTTGTTGAAATGTTGTAAATGTAAGGCAAAGAGCTTTGTCACACCTTTGCAAAGCTCTTTAATTTAATTGTTTTCTTTTGGCGAACAAAGCAATAAATACTTTATGTTGAGCACTTTTAGAACGACTTTTTGTCGGAAAACGAAAATAATTAGTCATTTAAATCAGTCAATTTCTTTGTGACTCGCAGTGGTATTAAATACTATTGATATAAAAGTGAAAATTTTACATTGTTGTTGGACAATCGAATTAAAAAAGTACCGTTTTATATTCAAACAGTTTTCAATTTTTAAACTTTTAAATACAAAATACTTAAAGAAAACATCCCCGCAATTTCCAAACATATTTACCAATTTAGACAATTTTAATTTATAAAAAATAACAACAAAACATTAAAAATAAATACCGAAGCATTTTTTATTTTAATATTTTTTGTTTTTGTTTTGTTTTTTCCCAAAAATGAGTTGTGTATTATTTGATTAAGTTATTATAATTAATTTTTATGAAATTTTTGCACTTTTTAAATATATTTTTCACTATTTTTTGATTTTTTCCAATAATGAAATTTACTATCTTAAATCCAGTTTAAGTAATACCAGATCATCCACAAAGACAATGCCTGCTGTTACAAACACGTTTGAATGCATTATAACATTTGCTTTCCCGATAATTCAGTTGGTCGCTCCATTTGTTTCATTTCGTGTGGTAAAGGACTTTAACGAAAACAACACCAAAGAGGGTACAATTAAGGCAGGATTGTATAATACAGCCCAACACGAGGAAGGGTCGAAAGAAGAAGTGCCAATAAGTTTTGTTGAAATGAGTACATCTGATAATTATATTATAAATTATTAAGAGTATAGCAAGAAGGTGTCTCAACACTATCCATGGCTGCAAAGTAGTCATTGGTGAGAATGGGTATAATTTTCTGATACCAAAATCAGGCAACTGTGATGAAATGGTTGAGCTCCGAATGTTTGAATATGCTCTTGTGAAACACAAGCAATTGTTTGACGATTGGGAATCTCTTGAAGATCAAAACGAGAAGGTGTTGGTTGAAGGTTTAATTTCTGCTCTCAAGAATCTCTCTGGAACTCCAACACCAACGGAACTGTGTGAAGCGCTTGAATCTCTTCGCTGTGAGAGTGTTTTAACATTTCTGGAATACCAGAGAAAGGTGATTGCTGAAGAAGAGAGAATAAATGAAACAAAAAGACGTGATATTCAGATAGATGTAGACAAAATTGAGCAACATGCATCAATTGGAGACTTTACCATCCCGACTTACACCAAAGTTTGTTTGGATACGAATGAGAAGTATGACGAAAGCGGTCTCCCGTTGTTTGACAACACGTTCAGAGAGCGACTCCAAAGGATAAATGAGAAGAAAACCAATTCTTTTTTACAGATAAAGGAACAAGATAGCACATATAAGAACTGTTTTGGATGTTACAAAGAAAATACAATTGAAGAAGAGAACGGAATATACAATGACAACAACAGAACTTTGGGTTTGAAAACAATGGAGATTGGAAGGAAACACAGACTGTTAAGAAAACTGTCAGAAAATAGAGTGGAAGGAAGTAAGAGAATCGAAAAGGGGACATATATGAGCATGTTGAATGACAAGGATGAGAAGAGAATAACAGAGTCCAAGCCAAAAAGACTCAACAAAGACAACAATGTGTATTTGAGGAGTTCGATCATGAGTGGATTGTTGAATGATGAAGTGTACAACGCAAATAAGGGGTTACGTGGTCGCATTCCATTTTTCGATGTTGTTGATGTTGGGCAGAGCTATTTTATGGACCACAGTGACAATGATATGTTCAACACAGATTTCTTAATCAAGAAAAAAGAAAGAGCAAACAGAACGAGTGATGACAGTGGGATTGAAATAGAAGATGACCAAAACAGTGTTATTCAAGACTCGATAATAGAGAAGAGAGAAGAGAGAAAAGACCGAGAAGATAACAACAACGACAGAACAAGAAGACGGCAAAAAGGTGAAGATTCATCTTTTTAGTGATGAAGAGACGAAAAGGGCAACAAAGAGACTTCACTCTGCAAAGAAGTTACGAGTCAAATCATCCATGGAAGGAAGTAGTGAAAAAGAAGAGGAGGACTCCGAGATAAAGGCTGGACTGCATACAACAAAGGGATCTGCACCAAATGTGGGACACAAAGACCTCACAATTCCAAACTGTTATTCGGGCATTGTTGGTAATGTTGAATCTCCCAGACGTGGATTGTCAGCAAAAGGTATAAACGAAGTCAAACTTTTCTAATGATTATAAATGAATTTTGTACCGTTAAAATATTGTTTTTAACAAACAAATATTAACAAGAACAATGAAAGAAGCAAAATTATTTTTAATTCAAATCACAATGTTTGAAATGTGTTTTTATTTCATCATTATTGTTTTTATTTTTTCATTAGTTTGTTATCAATGAAGAAACCAGTCTCTTTTAGATTTAGTAATCCACCCAAAAACACCATCAGTTGTGAAATTATCGAAAAAATTATAACATTCTTTTCAAACCTTTTGATAAATACCTATTTCAATACATCAAATGAACAATTTATAGTTAAATGTTTAAAAATTAAAACAATTTTTTTAAAAATTGATTATATTTTTTATTTTTCAATGTCAAAATGAAAAGCAACCAAATGTGTGTAAAATGTTTAAATAAGCCAATTTTTGACATAAACTCATGAGAAATAAATGACTTAAAAATAATTGCCGAAATTGTTGATACTTTGTAAGAAATTAATATGATCATTTTAAAATATATTCAGTCGTCTGAACAACAATCTTATTTTTAAGTAAAATCAAATTTTTCGTCAAAATGAATCCCACCGAAGAGAAATGTACCTAAAAATAAATAAAAAATATAATATTGAAATTATTAAATATAGGATTTGTCATACAAAAATAAATTGTACATAACATTGATTTAATTATACTCGATATGTGTTGGTATTAAAGACAAACTTGGAACAACTTATTTCGATTAATTAAAAGTAATGAACAGTTTCATATTCTTGTTAAGTTTTTTGGTGTGTATTGCGTCAAGCGCAACGTGTTCTTTTTCTTCGACTCTAACAACATCGAAAACTATGACCAGTGATTGTAGTTTAAATTCAAATTTGACGATTGGGGGTTCAACAACTAGCATATTAAGCGTCACAAATGGTGCAACACTAACAATAAACCAACATCTAATTGTTAAAGAGATGGGAGGCATTGAGCTGTTATTGTCGAGTACATTAAATGTTGTGTTGAATATTGAAATTTATGGGTATGGATTTTTAAATATGAAAGAAGACAACGTTATTATGAGTGAGGGAAATGTTTTATTTAACGGATTTTCTAAGTGTGTTTTAGATGGTATGTCCATGTTTACTCTTAAAGGATCTGTTGAATTTGGTGAAAGTTCTACGTTATCTCTAAAGGGGTATTCATCAATTAGTTCAGAAACACCTTTTGGTATATACGGAAATGCAGTGACCGAAGCGCAAGACGATTCAATTATAATGACCACAAGTACCATTTCTTTTTATGGAACATCAAAGTTACTTCTTCATAACGCTACAATGTTGGCTTCTTCATCCACTTTGAGTTTTTATGGAAATTCCATTGGAATTTTCGACGGAAGTGCTGGGTTAACGTCTGAAACGATTGCGTATGTATATGGAGATGCAAATATTACATTTAAAGGCACTAGTCGGATAATTCCAACAAACTCCCTTTCTTGTGGTGATCGAGGTTTCATTACATTAGAAGATAGTTCTCAGATTATTTCGAAAAAGGATGTTTTTGCATTGGCATCGTGTACAATTACTTTGAGAAACAATTCAATTGCTGGAGCTACAAACTCTATGTATATCAATGCAAGTGCAGTTATTTTAATGGAAGGAAATTCATCTGTAAATAGTAATGTCGGTACTTTTATTAATGGAGGAACTTTGTCAATGGAAACAACATCATACCTGAAAACAAAATTTTTGAATATCACTTATAATGGTAAAATGCTATTAATAAATGAAGAAAGCTCAAATCTTAAAATGATTCACGTTGAGTGTTCATATTTTACTTGTTCGGGTGGAAATGTAAATATAACTAAAGACTCCATTTTTAATATTACAACTGAGACCTCTTTAGAAAACTGTGTTTTTAATTTATATCAAAGAACAGTGAGGGATTTACCACTATTGTTTTCAACAAATTTGATCAAATTAAATAATATAACTTTTAATTCTTTAAATATTGATGTGGTATACAATGTTAACCCCATAACTGTAACACTCCCAACAAATGGACAACTTCTTTTAAATGGACAATTGTTGAGGATTGGTACTTCAAAAAAGATTTTTTGTCATTTGAACCAAACATCAAAAAGTAATTATGTATACATTGAACCTTACTGCCCCTGTGATGATACTGTCGACTGGTATATCACTCCTCTGGATCACATTAAAATAATGACGATTTATGTATCTAAACAATCAACCAAAACAGGAAGAGATAAAAATAATCTCAAGGGTGAAGATGAGTTTGGGTATGAAAGTGCCACAATTGGCAACAAACAAATATCTTTTTACAAGTCCGACAATTATGTTATTTGTGTAAAAACAACTGATAATATCGAAACACAAGTAAATACATTAACAAAGAATGTACTATTTATCTCTGAAACCATTTTAAAGTATGGTGATACAATGTTTAATGCGCTTTACAACTCAAAGGATACAATAAAAAAGCTATCAGTAAATTACTGTTCAAGTGGTGTGTACAACAGCACCTCTTCTCTTTGTGATAATCCAAACGAATGCGATGATACAAACTGTAAGTATTGTTTTTTGTTCAAAAAAGATTGTATTTGGTGTAAGACCAATTACAAGTTGAGTGGCGGGAAATGCGTTTTAATTCCCAATTGCATTTTGACAACATCAAATAGGTGTGTAAAGTGTTCTAAAGGATATTTGTTGGTGGATGATGAGTGTGTGCTTGATGAAAAATGTCTAATAAAAAATCTTAATGGAAAATGCCAGATATGTAACATACAAATGCACTATATCTTAAGTGGAGATGTTTGTGTTTCGACTGTAACAAACAGTATCTTTAACACAAATAACAGAGTCATTTCATGTAAAACAAATTTCTTTTTATCATCAGACAATTGTACTTTTTGTGAAGATAAATATGAAGGTTCCCAATTGTGTGAAAATGGAAAAATAACAAAGTGCAACTCAACCAATGAAATAACTAAAGAAAAGAAGTGTATACCAAAAACTTGTTTTGACCCAAATGATGGGAATGGTCTGTGTTCCGATGATATTGGGAACTGTTCTTATATTTCAAATAATAAATGTTCAGAATGTGATGAAGGTTATGAACAACTAAACAACACTTGTGTGGAATATAGAAAATATAATGAAACTAATTGCATTGATCAAAAAAGCTTTGGATGCAAAAGGTGCGAAGACACTTTTTATTTTGACAAAACGACATCCCAATGTGAATCGTGTAACGATTCATGCTTGAATT